CAAGCAAAATTAAACCCTCCTGCTGTGGCCTCTTCAAGGCCACAGCAGCGTGCGGCTGGGCAGAGCCTTCCAGGCTGAAGGTTATACTAGTTAATAATTAGGGGTTTGGGTTTAAGGTTTTGGGTGGATTCTAGATATATGAAATATTCTTATATGATCTTGCTGTCAATTAATAATTGACAGCAAGATCATATAAGACCCCTAACATGATTCAAGGTAATATTCCTTCATTAAGGGGTAAGAGATTTTGGGTGGGGGTTGAATTGAGGGTTTGGGGGAACTGGGAACACACTTTTGCGCAGAACATTTGGTCGGTACAGCAATGATGAGACGACAGGGCGCCCAGCCTAGTTACATGACAACTGTAGGCTGTATGGCAATGGGTTATATGTACTGTAGGCCTGTATGACTGCTGGACTGGGCAGCCCTCTGCTGTTAGTCATTGGGTCAATCTCGAACACACAGAGTCATGTCTCATGCACGAGAAAGAAAAAGGGCACAGTGACCATCTGTGCAGGAGGATTCCGAATACAGGCCACAAGTCCCACAGTCTGTGCATTCAAGCAGTTGAGTCTAAGATGACTGCTGTATTTGATGACATTACACAGTAAAGACTGCAGGACTGTAAGCCTGTAGGACAGTGCCACATCACTGGGCATACCGCACACACTCCATCAGGTTGTCCGGGATCTTTTCCGGATCCAACTTGACAAGAGTCAGCTTCGGAGACACACGTGAGTGGAATGACGGCTCGTGGCTCCTGAGTAAGCAACACATGCATGTGTGACAAACATCCTAAACCCTAAACCCTAAATCTAGCTGCAAGCAAGCTACATCTCCAGCAGAAAAGCACGGCGTACAGGATCATGTTTGGGAGTCACCACAGCCATACGGTCAAGCTCCCACTTTGTGACTTGCCTCAGTTTGCACACAATATCAAAATCAAGACTGAAGGACTGCAGGACTGTTGGTCTGGGGCACATGAAGCTCTTTTGCACACCGGGGATAGCCGTGATCATCCAGTTGGGCCTGAGGACCTGCTTCTCTGCCCGCTCGATCTTGAACTCATCCTGGGATGCATCACTGAGTTACACGCATGACTTGTATTCATTTTGTTTGGTTGTGGGGAGATAGGGGAAACAAATGTTGTACCAAGTTTCGACTGTATTTGTCGGGCTCCAGATGTAGTTGCTGCCTGAGTACTTGAAGTGGCCGTCGACCTGCTGCCTCAGAAATTCGAAACAAGATGTCATGTCTGATCACAATTGCACAGCATCAAACTACACAACTGTCATGTATCTTTTCTGTCAAGCAGCTGCAAGATTTTCCAAAAGAAAATCGACGGCACTTGGAAGGCTTCCCCGTCTTGGATCGGCTGTCTGTAGAATACCCAAACGAAATGCCCCTTGACAGGCGTCCAGAAGCTGAAACAGTCATCTTGCGTAAACAAGTCCGTGGGACCTCAGGAAGACACCAGTGACAAGTATAGTTTGATACAAACACAGCACATCTCTCCTCCGACTAACTGAAACAAGTCACTGAAGGGGTCTTTCATGGCCTTGACCACCCTGAAGCTGCCATTGACGAACTCCTGGCGATCCATCTCCAATGACCAGCCAAAGGGGGCCTTGTACGAGTCCCAGCAGGATCCGAACCACCTGTTGAGAAAGTTGACTGGGGTCTCCTCACAGAGGGCAAGAAACAAAATACATATCACCAGCAGTGCAGTAACACACAATGGTGTAGTTTCAGCACTCGTCCTGTCTTGGCATAGGCATTGTGACTGACGACTGGGGGCCTGTGGACTGTGTGCCTGATCGACCGAGAGTTCCACTGCCATCAGGTCCCTTGGGTGCAAGAGCACCCACCAAAATCATAGCATCACGAAGGATGAGGATAGTGTCATCCACCTTAGATGAAAAGATCTTGCCACTAAGTGATGAGCGCTCACAACAACCAACACAACAATCATTCTCATATAACATCATGGAAGGCACATGCTTGGTAAGACTGAAATCCAGGCCCTTCGGGTACAGATAGTCTGTGGCACCTCTGGATTGGCCGAACCCCTCAAAGCCGTGCAAGCACCAGTGGTAGACAATGGCCGAAGTGCACGGGATATTGCTGTCCAAAATATCCTCAGTCACACAGTCTCTCCATGACTCAGTCACACAGTCTCTCCATTCACAGTCTCTAATATGTATTCTTGTGACAAGCCACATCCAGCCACATGTTGAACTTGGCACGCTGCATCTCGTGCGAGAGGAACTCGATCATACCTTAGATCTAACTGGCAGTTGGACTTAGACAGAGAGCAAACAGCAACTCGACTTGACAAGCTGCACTCCTCCCTCATGTCCGAAGGCTTTGTGCTTGGACTGTAAGACTGCAGGACTGTCGGGAACAGGGTCAATGCCGACTTACCTCAGATTCCAAGCAGAAGTTGACAATGACATGACATGATCAACAGACTCATATTGCATACAAAAAACAGCGCATAGCAGTCTGGAGCATGTTGTCGTCAAATGTCACAGGGCCCCACTGGGTTTCCTTCTGCAAGACCATGGAGATCCACTTGAACTGGAAAGAAGGATCCACTTTCGGAACTTGCGTGGGAGTGGCTGCATTCCTCATTACACACAATGATACAAATCACATACACAGGCAAGTGTTCAAGAACATGACTGTGCATATCTTGAAATGAGAATCCTGAGATGCCACTGGAAATACTCCCAATCCAGAAGCCGGGTTGGACGAGCGCTGGACCGCATGCCCAACAAAGCCTGTTCTGCACCTGTGCCATGGGAGATGCTGCTGAACACACACAGTGAATCTGAATCTGCTAGACTACGCTTGCCCATGTTCCTACCTGCTCTGTCTGCACCTCCATAGCCACCAGGGGTTGCATCCGGGGCCGACGGAGCAAACACATCATCATGAAGATCCAGCTCGGGCTCTGGTGGATCGAAGGATGTCAGGTGCAAAACCTGTCCTATGGTTGTCTCTCCCGACACCGGGCCTGCTGACTCTCGGACTGCTGGGACTGCAGACTGCGAGACAGCGGACTGCGAGACAGCGGACTGCGAGACAGCGGACTGTGAGACTGCAGCTGGCTGTGAGACTGCTGCAGACTGCGGGACTGTCTCGACTGGCTGTCCTCGGCACCTCAGTTCCACCTCAAGGGTATGACTTTCCCGCCCCGTCAACTCCAACAAGTAGTTGTCTCTCTTCTCCCGAAGGAGCGTTGATGCCACACTCCCTGTGGAGATAGGCTGATCGGCACCCCGGCCCTGCCGATGCAACACGAAAAGAATCATCTGGTGATTGTGAAGCTGCAAGAACCCGGAGAAGTCCCAGACCTTGGTATAGCCACAGGCACAGTCTTACAGTCCTACAGTTCACACATGACACATGCACAAAGAAGTCAAGGAACAGGGGTTGGGCCAGGGATTGCATCAGACCTTTTGGTCCCATCTTCGTGACTGCTTCCATAGATGGACACATAGTACGGCGACTGGTCGTTCAGGCGATCTTTGCACTTCTTGATCACAAACTCCACAGTGTAGTTATGCATGATCGCCATTGCTTACAGTGGGGACGAATTCACGCCCGAGACTGCAAGACAGGAAGACTGACTGAGCAGAAGATGCTGCAATTGTTTTAAATGTATACCTTATGACTATAAACCTTTAACCTGTAGACCCTTCCTTATGTGGTAAACCTCCAAAACCCCGGACCCTTAGACCCAAAGAAACCCAAAACCCTACAATACCTAATATTCTTACACCTAAACTGCCAAACAAAACCAAAACCCTGCGATACCGACCTAATAAACTCTTACACCCAAACTCCTAGACCCAAACAAACCCACGAGCCTACAATACCTAATAGACTCCTACACCTAAATACCTTACGACTGTAAACCTTACACTGTAAACCCAACCTTATCTTGTAAACCCCCAAAACCCTCAACTCTAGACCAAAACACATCCCAAAACTGTCCTCTTACACTTAAATGGGAGTTTCCGAAAATCAGGGGTACCATAAATTATTTAAGGGTCTTTATAATAATATATGAGGTGTCCTTACAATCAGGATCCTAGGGTATTCTACTGGCATCCCCTGATTTCGGAAACTCCCAAATACCAAAAAGCACAGAGCCCCTCGAAATCCCGAAAAAACCCAAGCCCTTCCCCACCCCCCACCCCCCCGGCCTTCGCAGGCCGGGCACAGCGGCTGCCGCCGCACCAGCAGCGCCGATGTGATGTTGATGATGGTGATGATGATGTTGATGATGATGAAATAAAATATATCATGAAGGACAATGATGATGATTAAATGTAACTAGATATTAAATATTTGATGACTGAAAGCCCTTGAGCCTGAAAATCTAAGGACCCAATTAAGTAAACCCCCCAACTTAAACCCTGGGGTCTTGCTTTAGGGTTTAGGGTTTGGGGTTTAGGGTTTAGGGTTTAAACCCTAAGCCCTAAACCCTAAACCCTAAGAACCCTAAACCCTAAACCCTTACCTTAAAGCTAAGACCCCCAGGGTTTTAAGACCATTAGGGTTTACTACATAAAACCCTGGGGGTCTGGCTGTAGGGTTAGGGGCTTTAGGGTTTTAGGTATTGAAGCCCGCAACCTAAACCCTAACAGACTTAAAAACCTTTAGGTTTGGCCTTTAGGGTTTGGGGTTGTAAGCTTAGAACTGGTATCCTAGTTAGGTTTGCTTGGTATCCTAGTTCTTCTGCCTACTCCTTTATAATTATACTAAGGAAACCCCAAAATAATCTTGGTGATTATTCAGGCCCCTATACTAACTCTTTAGGCCCCCTGTATATTGAGCACGCCAAACAGCTGCAAGCTCAAAAGTCATGATGCAGTGAAACCGGCCAGTCGCTCAATTGAAAAGACTGCCCTCAAGCAACAACGGGTCCAAGCGAAATTGCCGTCGACGGGTTCAGAACCCCAGCCGCTCAATTAATCCAAACAAGCAGCCCGCCCGTGACTGCCAGCGCGTTGACCCAGTCTGGGGCCTGCGTGTCGTTCTGTTGCAAGGGTTCTGTTTCCCCAGGTCGATTTTCTCTAGCGGGTGTAATTACGGGGGCAGGTCTCTCAACTGGGGTCCCGTTGTGGTTCTCCGAAAGCGTACGTCGCTCTTACAATCCCTACCCTTAGAAACGATCCGAATGCGAAGAAACTTCCACATCTACCTTGTTAACGGATTCAGTTTCAGTTACCATAATAGGCAATAATTGGGATCTACAGTAGCTGACATGGTTTCTTTGTTTAGGCAACTTAAAAATAAGGCCACACTAACAGTTTCCGCATGGCATTTTCTCGGAGCCTTACAGTAAATGCGAGGTGCGGGGGCCCGAGATCTGCGCTGGGGTGCAGCTTTTGGGGCTTCATCCGCTGCGTGATCTGACAGTCACTAATAATCGACCATAATCGACTCATGTAAATCAGTCTTTGACATGTACGGCGCCCGCGGCTTCTCTGGAGCGGCCCAAGAGTGCCTCCTCAACATGCAGCCGCTTGACGAACTCGATACCTGGGAATTGTGTTCCTACTGTCCTACTGGGCATCATTAGGATTGATAGGGGTTTAGGCTGGGAGCTGCTTGGACCTCGATTTGGCAGTTTCGGGTGAGGACACGGAGCCTCAAATGTCCACGATTTGGGAGGGGGGAGCCTTTTGATTGTAAACGTAAGCTTGAGCAGCCCTTAACCCAAACACCGACCGCTGAATTCCAAGCAACAAAGCTTTCTAGACTGGAACATTGAGTCGGCGCCCTGACTACTTTCAGGGCTTTAACAATTTGCATTGACTTTGAAGTAAATGATACTACGTCAAAGTACAATATAGGGAACCCTGAGGACCCTGAGGAATTGAATAGTCTTGGTTAGTATTCAGAACCCTAAACCCCTAAACCCCTGATTTCGGAGGGAAAAGATGCCAACTCTGCCGAGCAGCAGAAGTGCGCGCAGTTTCGGTGCAGAAGGTCGTACCTGATACCCGGCTCTCTATCTGCCCGGGACTTCTACACCCACAGCTTTTCAGCTATTGCTTTTGACTGGTGTGTTGTCTGAATGTCTTGTCTTTGTTTAGGGTTTAGGGTTGTAAACCCTATGATAACAAACAGTGAAACCCCAAAGCCTGAAATTTCTTGATTCGGGCTCTGCGGCTGTCGGTCTTACATTCTGAAAGCGGGTTTCTTTTGCTAGTCCGGCTCCCCCTAGATGTTGACCCTAAACCCTAAACCCTAAATGGCTCACACTACATGGTTTAAAGTTTAAGCCTTCGGGGTTAGCTTGCCTGCTGCCCAAGCTCCTCCAATAGCCCTGAAACCCGACTCATATAAACCCCTACAGCCGCGAAGCAAAACTCTAAAGTCCCAAGCCTGCAACAAATCAACCGTACAAAAACAGAATTGTTGTAGAGATCTCACTGAATACAGGAAAGTAAACCTGGTAGTGATAGAACCCTTGCAGTAACCCTTGTAGCAACCCCTGACTGGAACACCACAAGTCTTTTATGATACTGCAAAGCCCCATGAAAAAGTACAAAGCCCTAAGAAGCCTTACACAAGGAACCCTGAGCCCCAGCCCATCGCGTTGCAAAGTGTCAAGAGCTGCTGCTGTCACGCTACAACACTCCCAAAGGACATCAGATGGGATCATTCAGGACTTAGGGCTTAGCTTAGGTTCTTGAGGTTTTTCGGGTTGGGGATGGGTTTGGGGTTTAACTTTTCAGGATCAGCTTGGGACTCAAGGGGTTGAAGGCGTTGAAGGTGGTAGGGCTTAAGGGTTTGGTAGGGTCTCCGTCTTCAGGCTACCAAGGGGGTTTAAGCGAAGGTGCATTGCAAGACTGGAGATGGCCTGCCTGGGCAGCCTGACACAGACACCCAGAGTGTCCAGAAAGCAGCCCCAAGCTTAGGGCTCTTCTATTTCATTCAGGGTTTAGGGTTTAGGGTTTTAGCAGTTCCGGCTTCGGCCTCAAAGCAAGAAAAGAAGGCGTATACTCTACCGGCGTGTTTTTGGCCGAGATGCCCCTTTCCCTCCCACTGCCGTCTAAGCTCTCGAAGGAGTGCGAGAACCTGGCGCTTGGCTTTTGTTTATTTCCGCGATCTTGTGGACAAAGGCTCCTTGATTCTGCGTGGTTGACGGTGAAACGCTTCAGTGTTGAAGGCAAAACGCCCACGACAACCCCAATCCCTGAAAAGCCTCAGAGCCTGAACTTCTTTCGGGACTAACAGATGCCAGGTCCACCTTGGGTTCGGGGTCCCTCTTGCACACACGACCTATCGTAGAAAGCTACCCGTACAGGCACCATATCGCAGAACTAAGACGCGCATTAATCTTCGGGATTTTGTGGGGCCGGGGGCAGCTCCGGGGCTCATAGTTGCGACACAGAGCCTGAAAGAAAGGGTTGCACGAAATCCTTTGCACACTCTGTGCATGCCGAAAGTCCGAAAGTATTGCCATGCCATCCTGAATGTCATCACACGAGAAATGCAAAAAGTGCAGAAAAAGGTCGACCCTGCTACGGAGCCCTACATCAATAAAGTATCCAAAGTTTCTGAAACACCTAAACCCCTGTGCCCGCGTTAGGCTTTCTTCTAGGTCCTTCTGAGAACTATACTGAACTTAGAACCCTAGCAAAAATTATAATTTTAGCTGTTTCTTAGGGATTATAAAAACCAACAATTAAAGTTTTTTTCTAAGTACCCCTAAGAGAACCCTTTGAATGTAGGATCTTGAGGGGAGTGTATCCCATAATCCCTATACGAGCATAACGAGCCTCTTCAGGCGAGAAGGGTGTCCTTGCAGTCAGTTCAGATGACTGGGCCAACTAGCTGTTTTCTTTTAGGGCCCTTGGGTTAGATTCAGGTTTCGGGCCTAGGGGGTTTTATGAGAATCATCTGCTGCTGTTCTGTATGGAGTCGATGATCGCATGTTGCCTTGCAGTTCCCGGATACGATGGTGGCATAAATTGTTGTTGGGTCTTATATCAAGTCTCAATGATAGGAGTTCTCATTACGGGGATGCTTGGAGATATAAACCCCCCGAATAAAGGTCGGTCCCTTTTCAGAGAGGCAGAAGTAGGGTTAAGAAGAGTCCCCTCTAAAGGGACTCCATACTACTACCTCGGCAACATTGATTGTCTTCGGCAAGAAGGTTATGTTGTACGAAACTAGAAGGCAGGGACGCCCGCTCGCTAAGCAGCGAGTGCTCCTGCCGTTTTCTGTTGCTGGGATATAATAGCCAAGCAACAGCAAAAAAACATACAACATGCTATTCCGCCCGGGCTTTCAAGTTCTGCAGACCGCAGCAACGAAAAAGAGCATCAGATCTCACGCTCCCCCTGGCTCGGGCTTCCTGCACCATAGAAGTCGTCCCCCCCCCCCCCACAAAAACTGTTCGAGCCACAACCCAACACCTGGCCTGCCCAGTGGGAGACGCTGGCGGAAGCGACCAAGATCGCTTTTGCCAAAGTGAAGCGCCTGCAGAAACCACCAAGGGAGGCTAGGCGCAGGTAAAACAAAACGTTTCATGGCCTGCGAGTCCTTGGAGGCTGAGTCCTAAAGCATGCTCCCTGAACCCTGAGGCCCGAAAGCCCTAAACACGAGGCCATGCCATATCACACCCCAAGAACCCTAAACCCACCTCTCTGCTTTGCGAGGCGCCTGGATGCCAGAGCCTTCTGCGCACCAGCCGAAGCTCCACTCCAGCCAGTAGACCTGCACCGCTGGCAGCACCACTCTCCGCAAAAGGGTCCAAGTAGATGTGCACACACACACACACAAACACACATGTTGTACACATATGTATCAAAATCTATGCACACATGTATCTACACATACATACATACATCCATCCATGCATGCATACATTACATAGGTGCAAACACACACACACATGTACATGCCTGCATTTATGCATTCCACAAAGGTACTTTACGACTAGAGTGTCTCCTATACTCGGACCCTCAACGTCTCCAACGACGCCTAACGCATTTGCTGTATTTGTGCTCATGTCCTACTCTGACCACACTGTCACACCGTCCTACGATCATAAAGGCGATGCCTTGTATTGCATGTCTCAAGTGTGATCGATGTTGGTCCCACTGTAGCTTGCTCCAGAAGTCGCGGTAGAGTCAACACAGAAACCGGCACTCCGGAGACTATTGAAATTGAATAAAACGGCTGCGGAAGACGATACCTTGGAAGTGCCAGAGAGAACATAGGGCAAGTAACATCGGTCCGTTTGACTTTGGCAACGCTCGCGAGTTAAGTCTTTGCCTTGCGCGCATGTGGCACATGCCGGTGCGAAGCAAGCCAAGGGCGCGCAGAATCAGATGACCCCTGCCGAAAACTACGAATATAACGTGCCCTGCCTAAATAAACCGGTATAACTGCAGTTGTATGTCACTGACTGACTAAACACGACGCAAGACCCCAAACTCAAGGGGCTCGAGGTTTTCCCCTGAGTCGCGGACGACTGCAACCTTCGAGACCCTGCAGCCCCGTTTACGAGAAGCCGGAACAGAAAGGGATCAATCGGGATCAACATCTTGACCCAAATCCACAGCGCCTGAACTCCGACGTGGAAGGCCCCACCCAAGCCTGCAAGCCTCAGACGCAGTAGGAAGGGTTCCTTTGCAGGGTTCCTTTTAAGGGTTTCTTTTGAAGGTTTCCTTTAAAAGGTTCCTTCAAGGAAAAAAATCCCAGCTGCTGGGAGCGGAAGGGTGCTTACAGTGCGTCGTTCTTGATGGACAGAAGCTGGGGGTTTCGCAAGCTCCGAATGTTGCCTAAGACCTGACATGAAAACTTACACGAATCGTGACTATCCCTCACGGAGCCCTGAGTACAAGCCCCTATAAGGTAGCCCGTGCAAAGGTACGAACATCCCGTCAAGCCATCAATGTGACAGCCCCTCAAACTCGTAACACTCGCCTTCGAAACCCTGTCCAAACCCTACAGGTGAACCCCGAGCTTTACACCCTCCCAAAAGGGGAATCCCTCCGAGAACCAGGCTCGGTCAAGGCTGTCACGGCAGCTGTTCCGTGCAGTTCCTCAGAGAGCAGGGCACAGACATAGGGCTTTGGGGGCTGGTTGTGTTGGAGGTCGGACCTCTATCCTAAATCCTAAACCCCAAAACCCTGAAATTTTGTCCGGAAGAGCGGGTTCAATGTTTTTTTTGTGTGGTTCATCAGGTTTTTGGAGGGTGGGGCCTCACGGCGGAGGTCCCCCTGGAGCGGTGCTTCTACCCCAAATGTAGGACCCTTATGTCTGTGTGCCTCTAACGGTATGAGGGCTTTCAATGCATGATCGACAGACCGGGGTTTGCTGGTTTGACACACTGGTTTGAGTCTCAGTTTAAGCCTAGGCTTTAGTGGGTTTAGGATCTGCAGTACTTGCATCACCTCCTGACGAGTCGACGCGCGGCACGTCCTGTAGCTCGTCAGACTCCCCCTCTTCCGAGCCTTGTTTGGAGCCGGATGCAGGACTCGAGGAGAGGGCAAATTTGCACAAGCCTCCCACAGCGCCAGCTCCTGGATTTTCACCTCTGTCTGCACTTCCTCGTCCTGGAGACGGCGTCGCGTGGCCGCCTTGAAGTCATCCGGCTCGTCCATCCATCCTGGGATCTTGACTCCAAAGGTTTAAACCCTAAACCCTAAACCCTAAATCCTAAACCCTAAACCCTAAAACCCTAAAACCCTAAACCCTAAACCCTAAACCCCCAGGAGAGCCACTGCCTGGCCTGCACCGAGCGAGGCCAAGGCCCCCTACGGCTCTGCTCCAGGGGTTTAGGGTTTAGGGGTTTAGGGCTTCGGTTGGGACTTAGGGTGTAGGTCTAGGTCCCTTCAAGCTTGAAGTCGGCTAGGGACCTCCCCCAGTTATGTGCAACAAGTCTCATCTCTTGCCCCAAATGGGAGTTTCCGAAAATAGGGAACCCAGATCTAGTACCCAGAATAGCAGGACCCTTAACAAAGACCCCAAAACAAGGTAATTACCGCAAATTTCGGCAATCCTACATTGGACACCCTGGCCGAGTGAACTCCAGACTGCTCTAGTCCCTGCCAAACGAACCCCTATAAATAACAAGCCCGAACCCCGAATTGCGTGTCCTAAACTGAATCCCAAACCCGACCCCAAGTCCTACGCCCTAAGCCTTTTAACTCAAACCCCCCTAAACCCTATAATCCTAAACCCTAAACCCCAAGCCCGAAACCCAGCCGAGAATTAACACTCAGCCCGGTGTCGTAGATGCTCAGGGCGACATCGGAGCCAATGATGGCCTCCGAGTCACGCCACGGTGCACTTGTCAAACAGATGGGTAGGTAGTTGCTTTTTTGGTTTGAGGGCTGAATTAAACCGAAAGTCGAGAAGGTTTAGGGTTTAGTTGCTATACAGGTATGTGGGTGGGTATAGGTGGGCAGGTAGGCACGTAGGCAGGCACGCCGCAAGCAGATACACGTATGCAGCTACATGTACATGTATAGCCAATAACATCTGAAGACGCAAAATCACGCATAGAAGGGTTTAAGACCGAGGATTCGGGCTTCAGGAAGGGCTGCTTTCAAGCTGTCTGTGAGGTAGCTTTGCTTCTCGGAAAGCCATCTCCAACCGACCTGAAAACCACCAGTCGTAAACCCCTAACTTGCAGAGCCAGACTCTCTAAACCCTAAACCCTAAACCCTAAACCCCTCTAAACCCCTCTAAAACCCTCAAATTCTAAAAATTTAAAATCTAGACCCTCATCTCCAAGCTTCCGAAGCCCTGGTCTCTGAAGATTGAGCCAGAAACCTCTGAATCCCTGGACCATAAAGGGAACTCCAGAAAGTTGGAATATGGTTTCAGGGTAGGATACCTTATAATCTACCATAAAGGGTTTAGGATAATCATATTCCAACTTTCTGGCTTTTACTCTAACCCTAATCTCCGAAGTATTTCGGTGCATTGTCGTATCTTCTGCCAAGGACTACGAGAGGAGACTCTGTCTACTTATTCAGACCACTAATTAGAATTATGTTTGCCCGAGCTCTAACCCGCAACGCTCATAGAACCTTTGCAGAACCTTCATGGAAAACTGATAGACACGCCATCGAACCCCAAACTCGGCATCCCAAAAACTTGTACCCTAATACCCTCATTGCTGGAAGCCCATAACTCCCCAGATCCCCGGCACATCCCAGCACCCTAAACTATACTGAACTTAGAACCCTAACAACACTTATAATTTTAGCTGTTTCTTAGGGACTATAATAATTAACCAAACATGAAAACTTATTTCTAAGGACCCCTAAGTAAATTTTAAATCCCAAAGGACCCGACTGTCGGACCGTCCTGGTAGAGGTCATCAGCTGCGGCACGCGCATCCTCGTCACTGGCAGTAGTTGTGCGATTCCCAAAGGGTCCAAAGTACCGATATAGTAGAATGTAGGGGTTTCTATATTAGGAATTACTATTATGATTTGGGGAAGTATTCCCCATAACAGTACATAGGACCCTTTTTGGGATTTGCTGTGGTTTACATTCAACCCATAACACCCAAATCCTGATGAAACCCAAACCGGCCTGATTTTGTACAATGTCAATATGGGTGGTTGTCAATATTAGGGTCCCTTTTGGGGTCCTTATTATAATACGGCACCTAAAATTTAGGGTGCCCAAAAAGGGACCATAAATTTGACAACCACCCAAATGCATCTTGGGGAGAGGATTCTGGATTCACGGAGAAACTTGGGGGTTTCTAGGACTTCAGACGGAATCTTTCAGGATCTATGAGGGGGTTTCCGATATTAGAGGTACCTTATTTTGGGGGTCCTTCTAGCAAGAATCCTACTATTTAGGGTACTCGATTAGGGTCCCACTCCCATGAAGGCGATAGGCGCTGTAGGATCTTGGAGCGCAGGGTCTGGAGGTCTAGGGTCGAAGTTGGGATCCAGGGTCTAGCAAGGGGTTTAGGGTTCGGGGATCTAGGGACTATCTGATCAGTGCGACTGTTGGCTGGTGTAGACTGATTAGAGGCATATGTTCTGAGCAATGTCAAATCAAGCAGCAACTTCGCAATACCATCGTCATACCTCCTGCTGCTACTATAACCCTTGCCACATTGCGATTCTTATCTTTACGGTTTTTGAGAGTGCCGCTGCCACCGACATAGCTAGTGCTGCGTGGATAAGAACTGTAGGAACCATTAATACCAATATAGATCCCTAGACATAGACTCTGACCTTTAAACCTAAGGCGTCCTGGCAGGACTGCTCCATCCAGCTGTGAAGATGCAGCTGTCCTCTCAACAAGTCCAAAGCATCTCCTCGGCCGACATCCGTGCCAAGGTTGGCTTGGGGTTTCCGGGTTGCGCTTTGCCTTTTCTCAAACTGCTACCGTGCAACGAAATCCTGCGGAGGTTCGTCTGACCCACATTAGGGTGTAGTGTCAAGGCTTCACGTGTCTGGGTTTGACAGGGAGTGTGGTCTCTACCACCAGTAGCAAAAAGAATCACAAATAGCCAGCCTAAAGAAATGTCAATTTCAATGATAGTGACAACAGCCGAAAAAAAGGTTTAATAGTAAACCTCGAACTGCTCTGTTCTGGTGAATGGAGCTTTGCAGTTCTCCTTCCAGCGTTTTGAGACTCCGCAAGGCTCAAGACTTCGCCCGACTTTGCATGTCGTAATTATACTAGTATGATTATTTGTATTACGGTTAATGATGAATGGTATAAGATACGGCGTAACTGCTACTATGATCATGATGACAATTCTTGTACCTGTCCTTTTGTTTTGGGTTCAGGTGATTGCCGGTGCTGTCGCCTAGGTCTTGGGAAGGTTCTGAGGGCCCGACAAATAAGATGATCTGCAGTGTTTCGCTATATCTGCTTGCATGCGACCTCCTGTGTTGCCCATGTCCTACCTCAAGCTAGCCAAGACTGTGCTTGCTGGGTTCAGGCAGATGCCACTAGTATCAGAATATGCGCCAATGTGAACACTGCACGAAGTATGGGGGTCAGGAAACCAGGCGTACATTGCTCAGGGCCCTTATGACAAGCTCTGACAATTTGATGCCGACCCCTTTGTGTACAGGTCTACGACTCAAGCCCCTCAGCAGGCCACCAATGCGTCGAGGGGCCGATAAGCGAGTCCATGCTACCTGGAGTTGCTGTGGGTCCAAGCGAAGCACAGTGGCAGGCATCTGAGCACATGCGAGCTGTTGAGAAAACCTGATCCCCAAACCGCTGCTCTGACTCTGCATGTTTCCGGGAGTTACGCTCTTTCATAATCGCAGACATGGCGCCACGACCGGCAAGCGCAGAAAGCATGCGGACGGCCTGTCGGGAAAGCGCCATCCAGGAGGATACTCTCATGCAGTCTGGGTCGACCATGTCATGAATGTCACAACCACTTTGTAAAAAGAGGTACGTCCAGCCATGTAACATCAAACATCGTTGCAGTGACTGCCGAAGTCGGTGAGAGAGCAATGCAGACTAACCCACATCGAGCTTTGCTCCAAGTTTAACGAAGTCTCAACACTACCTCAATACCGTATGGCGTAGAATGTAGGCGACTTGTTCAAGCTGTTCTGCAGACTTCCGTAAATTCAGACAATCGGGCTTCTTTACATTGCCTGACCTTACTGTAATCGCCCCCCTTGCAGTAGCCTTAGACAAGCTTTCTTCAAAGTAACCCCACCAGTAGTAGTGGAATGTTTCAAGCTTAGGGTCGAAGGGTTTCACACAATTCATTTGCTCTCGAACTCTACAGCAGAAGGCTGCAGACTCGGAATCTTGACAAAGCACAACGGCGCAAACCAAAACAAAACTCAATGCCAGAGTCTGCGCGAAATTGCAAACAAACGAGATTCACAAGAAACTCAGAAACCAAAAAGCTTCTGAAGACCCAAAAACTTCTCACACGCTCATCATAAGGCCCTACAAACCCGCATTCAGCCCTTCTAAATATCGTACAACAGCCTTAGGTAACACCGCCATGTACTCCTCATACCATATACTATACCACCTTCGCAAAAACATGAAGCCTTACGAAGCCATCAAAACATCAACGTGCAGTATACCAACTTCGGATCCCATCGCCTGGAAACAGCTCGGCAGCCAGCAAGCTGAGAAGCGCTCCTGAAAAGCAATGCGCTTTCAAAAAAGAGTAAACACAATGATAGCAATCCAAGGCTCCTGAAGACACAGGTGTGACAACAAAAACTAGTAGTAGTGCTGATCGTACACTGACCGCTAGTAAGACTAGTATGATGATATCAGTGCTTCGTATGACAACCAGATAGCAACAGGTCTGGATCGTGACAAGACTCTTTCCCACAGTCCTTTCCCCCAACCCTTCGCGGTCCAACCCTTCACGCTAACCCCAAAACCATACCCCCAACTTCTTGCCGATTCGCAAGACTCGGCAGAAGAACAGTTGACATCTGTAGCTTCTTGCTGTCCAGAAGAGATGACCTTTCAACTCCTGCCATGTGATGCACTACCGGAACAATGGCATCAACGCACAATAGGGTTTGCGGCGTAGTTTAGGACCTCGCAAAGCCTTGCAAGTACTTCTTTCTGCAAGTCGAATCTGCTCCGACCGCTAGTACATCATCACCACTCGCGGGATTGCTGTGGCTGTGCTCGGATCGGAAAGGTAGTGTCACATAAGTTAAGTTCAACATATGCGCAACATCACTGTCCACGGGGTCATCAAAGTCACCATCACTACCTTCAATGCCACCGTTCTTCACGATCATCCGCCGCAGCAGTATTAAATTATCATCATCATCATGATCTTGGTGATCACGATTGCCGTCAGTGTCCAAGCGGTCATCTCTACAGAAACGGGACCCATCTTCATCATGCATGTTTTTCCCTGGCCCACACCGTGGGAATATCGTGTATGTCCCCGTCCTCAAACTGAGAAGCCCACTCGTCGTGCTTGCCAGTCCAGTATTCACGGCTGCTCTCCTGTGGGTCACGATGTTCCGGAAGCTTGCATATCAACGGCAAAAACAAATTCAGAGTTTATGCCAGAGCCTTGTCATTGAACCATTCAGCATTATGCACGTTTCTGTGCGAGCTCTGTTTGGGAGCATGACCATCTGATCTCTCGTCCTTGACGTGCTTGCCTTAGCTAAAAACGATTCAAACGCATAGCAAGTGTAGTCCAAATCAAACTGTATCGAATCCCCATGAAACCTCCCCGAGAAAGCCGCACCACCAACATCTCTCGACTAAACCGGGAGCCCTACTGCCCGCCTCCGCCGAAGCCTCCGCCAGCAGCAGCACATCCTGCCAAATGGACCTTGTCTTCTGGGGCTTTAGAAGGCTTCTATATCTTGATCAAGTGGTCACGGCTACTTAACATGAATGCGTGTAAGGTGGTTGGCCCTGACCTACTCCGAAGTTCGACAAGGTAATCAGTCACAGCTTATAACTGTAAATGACTGTAAACCCTACACCGTGAATTATGATCCCACGTATCTTCGATCAGGGAAACAAAACAGCATGCATGCAATAAAGTTCACTGAAGGCCACAATTCACAAACCCCCACAGCGTAAGCAACTCGCATTCCTCAAGAACAAACCTCGTTCCTTAGGGATCATGCTGAAACCATACAGTTGTAAACACTAGATATATCGGCGGTTCTCAACAGAAGACAAGGGTGCATCGTCAGTAACTAACCCAAACTCCAAAGCCCCTGATGCTGGACCCATCAAATGTGAACAAACCCTTCTTGTCATAAGACTATTGAAGTATGAAGCCAAAATGTACGGATACAATCATTTCAGGTACAAACAAGCGAAGACAACAAAACACAGCACAAATCGACACGCTTACAAGCCCACCTCCAACAGTACACTTGGACCTGACAGGAACTCCAAAACCGGATTCACCAGCGAAGCCCCAAACTTCTCAACCTTGCGGATTCACCATCGATTGCCGAACTCGAAGCTCTCTATGTCCGAAATTTTTACTCCCAAAGCCTCGAAACCCAAACTGCGAATCACCCAACCCTGTAAACGCCTGAACCACAAGACCCTAACGACTATTTTTACCCTAGACCCTAGACCCTTGAAAGGATAAACTAAACCCCAAAAGCCCCAAAATGGCCAAAGCCCTATACGCTGAAGGGGCTATACCACTAAACCCTACCTGGATCCCAAAAGTATGTAGAATCATAGCCTTTTATAGATATTGAGCCATTATTCTACCTACTTTTGCGGGATTAGGTAGAACCAACCCTGAAGACCGCCAGTTTCAACGTTCTCAGACGCTGCGGACCCAGCGACTCCGCATCGGACCGTAGCTGCTCCGCTGAAAAGCAGCCTGCAACAGAAATGAGACCCTCCGTGTGCGGGCATACTTAAAGAAATCAGAAAAGATGTATATATATATATATGTATACATACATACAAATATACCTATATATATATACGCATACATACAAATATCTCTCTCTCTATATATATATATATGTCTGTATGTGTATGCATATATTATACATATACATATATATATATACATATATATATACATATGTACAAGAGCTAGACCACGAACTTCTACAGCCGGCAAACCTAACTCACACAAAACTGCCTTAAGCTCGGCACCTGCCATTGGGCTCGGAAAAATGCGAATAGTATCGCAGAACATGCTGTCCACTGGTACCAAATTCTAAACTTTCAAGGCCCCTGGTCTAAACACCACTAAAAAACAGGCAACATCTCCAAGGAACCCTATTCTACTTAACAAGGCACCTATTTTGCATTGAACCCTGCCAAAAACCCTTGACGGAACACTCTTCAGTTTTGATGGATCAGGGCCCCCATATTGCAGATTACCACCCAAGCCCGGAACCCAACACCCAAAACTCCAGACCCTATGTAAGCCATGAACCCAAACACCCTACCCACCCGAAGCCCGAAACCCTACACCCACAACTCTACATCGTAAGCCATGAACCCCCAAAGCCCTTAACCAACACTCAGACCTTATATAAACCATGAACCCCAAACCCTAAACCCTATAGTATCCTTAGAGTAGCCCTTACAGATCCGTTCAAGGAGCCCTATTTAAACCACCTTTCTTTTACCGAAAAAAAGGCTCCAAGTTGCCAAAGCGGCCTTCGAGCAGAAGGCGGAAAGCCTGGACAGGGCATGCTAAAGGGCTTTAGGGTTTTAAGGGATTTAGGGTGTAGGGTTATGGGATTTAGGGTTTAGGGTTTTAAGGGATCTATAAGGGTTACTATAAGGGTACTATAGGGTTTTGGGGTTTAGGGGGTTTCGGGATTTAGGGTGCAGGGGTTTGGGGCTGCGGGGCTAGGGTATAGGGGTTTTAGAGTTTAGGGTATAAGGTTTAGGGATTATGTAGGGTTTATTTAACTGCCATGGGGTGGGCTTACGGTATAGGGTCGCATCTCAAAAACTGTCAAACTTCTTTTTTTTGGTGGATCTCGTGCCCCGCATTCCTTAAAACGAGTGCCTTTCCCTAAGGGTCCATGTACCCATATAGAGATACATGGGCCCCAAAGTACCTACATAGGGACTACAAACTACAATAAGGCCAATGTATAAACTATATGGGAGTTTCCGAAAACAGGGGACCCTAATATAGTACCCCAAATAGTATTATCCTTATTATAAGGACCCCTAAATCAGGTACCCCTATTTTCGGAAACTCCCATATGAGTACATGGACCCTAAGGCTTTTGGAAAGGAATTACATGCGGAAGCTCCGGTCTGAAAAGGTTTCGTCTCCCGGATTCCTCAAGATGGGTGCCTCTCTTTAGTAAGAAGTTGTAATATAGGGGCCTTCATAATTAGAACAGGGTTTTGGGGCCCATCATACCATGATTATAATAAGGAAGCCCCAAAATAGTATAGGTAATTACTTCGGCCCCTATAGTAGGCCGAGGTTTGGCCTGAAGCCGAGTGCAGCACGGCATCCCACTCCTCTCCCGATCGCTCCAACAGAACTTCATGGACCTGACAAACCTCCCTCAAGCCCCCAAAGCCCTGAATCCTAACCTTGCGCCTATGTCCAAAGGCCTAAACTTTACCCCCAAAATCAGAAACCCAAACTCACACTCTATGACCGAAACAAACAAGAAGTTGCAGCCAGGTTGCGAGGATGCCCAGCGCGGCTGCTTCGGCCGTGCCAGTGCTGGGCTCCGAGGCGAGGAAATCCTGCGAACACTAAAGCCTCATATTTGCATGTAATGCATGTGTTACATAATCCTTTTGTTTTTCTTGGCCTTGCTATGTATATGTATATGTATGCATTTGCATGTATATAACTACATATGTACAATCATACAAACATGAATCCAAATACACATACATGCATACATACCTACATACATACCTACCTACATACATACATACATTCATACGTACAACTGTAACAGATGCACACACAATGTGCGTATTCTGTCTCAACAGCTGGAGCGTGCTATTCATGTACATACATGTGGGAGAGGAAGATATCCGTACATAGACCTGCATACATGAATATACATACATACACTGCATGACTATGCATAACTTTACACTATGCTACAATCAGTTTCATTAATAATTACTGCGTACTGATCGGACGATGTCTAATGTAGCAGTTATACGGCCCATTGTTTTCTGCACCACACCACCACGCATCACGTCACATTGCACTACATTGGGTTGTATTTGGCTACATGTACATATACGTGTACCTTTCTAGCATGTGTATACTTTCGTTGGCGCGCGGCAAGAGCCCTTGCAATTCAGCCAACGGAACCGCATACGAAGTGTCAGGCAGGCATGAGCAAAGGACTGCGTTGAGGCATGCGTATGAAAAACACGCATGTTTGGGATCGAAGGTTTTGTATAATAGTGAATACTCAGTGACTTCACGAACACTTTCCCAGCCCCAAGCCCTACTGTAGCGACCTTAATAATTAGAATAAGGTTTTGGGGCCCATTACACTGTAGTTATAATTAATAAGGAACCCCGAAACCAGTATTGGCAATGATTTAAACCTCTATATTAGACACTGAAAGATTGAACGGTGGACCCTTCGCCGCAGGTCGGAGCCTCGCAGCGTGTAGCCCAAGCGACATCGGCCTTCTCCTGCGCAACGTCGGGACTGGTGCAAAAAGAGAGAGAGAGAGAGAGAGAGAGAGAGAGAGAGAGAGAGAGAGAGAGTTTAGGGTTTAGGAGGTATAGGGCCCCTTTAAAGGGGTCTATAAGGGTTACTGTAAGGGATCTGTAAGGGTACTGAGATATAAGGACGTCTACAATACCCCACAGTCTAGAGTCTAAACCTGGAATGCGCCCTGAACCCTAAACCATCAACTCCAAACCTTGACACCCCTAAACCCCGAGCCTAAACCTTCAACCTTTGGGGATTCTCCTTGAGCCGCACGGCCTGCGCCAGTGCTGCGCCTGCAGCCGCTATACTTCAATAGAGTTTGAAATATTACACACGAAAGTACATCATCGTGTACTATAGTAGTTCATGATTTGGAGGCCTGAGGGCCGTGAGACTTCAACTCCTCGACGGCTTGATTGATATAAACGGCCACAACAGTTCGACTAGGCTTTGGATGAAGACTATAAGCTGTATACTGTAGTTAAATTTAGGAACCGGGAGAGCAGTTTCAGCCATTACTCCAGCTTCCATAGCAGGGCTTGCAGGGTATGGGGCTTGGGGTTGGGACTTGGGGTTGAGGATATTGCTCTGGGGCTGTGGGCTTGAGGTGCAGTAGTAAGTAACGGTATGACCGGTAGGAGATGGTCCTGGTTCAGGGTTGAGGATTTAGGGTTTTGGGTTTAGGGTCACGCTATCCCGAGGGGCCTGAGTACCTACAGAAATACTCAGATAACCATAGGTTAAAAAAACAGCCGGGTTTTAGGCTTTTTTAAACCTATAGGCGTACTTTGATACAATTAAGCCCTCTCTGTTAAACGGACTAAGACTTAAGAGCGCGACAGCTCCCTTGTAGCATCTCTATAAAACCCAAATATGTGAGCCTCACAGCACAACTCTAAAGCCTTTCCAGAACCCCTAAAAACTTTGGAGCCCTAGGACATGCTAAGATCCGAAACCCCATCCCGACTCTAGTCCTAAAGGCTAGAACTCTGACATCATAGCCTCAATTTCTACACCCCAAAACCCCCAAAGCAGCAGAATTCTAAACCTGTAATCCCATCCGAGCTGCGCGTCAGCTGCACTATCAGGTGCTGCTCCGTTACGAGGTTCGTGCTTTCCTTCCGGGGCTCATGAGGATGAAAGCTACTTGTTTACAGCATGGTTTAGGGTTTGACGGGGTGTTTTGGGGTTTCACAGCTTTTCAAAATTAAAAAACCTTGGGTGTTGTATTGGTTGCTCGATGTTTGGGGGTCCACAGTTCAAGTTGTCGGGCTAACAGGGTTTGGGGCGTATGGTCTGGGAGGGCTCAGAGAACTATCCACAAACCGAGAATGCTAAACGCACGCAAGAGCAACAAGCGGCAAAGACTGCCGGAAATGCGCCGGAAACCACGAAGCCGAGCTTGAGTCCAAGCTCGAATGTACGGTTTTTTACGACCGCCATGCGCCACCAATGCTGTTATGGTAAAGGGAAAATCGTCGTGCAAAGCGCGTAGGCGCTGCCGCCAAAAATGTACGGTTTAGGGTTTAGGGTTTAGGGCAAAAGTATCCAATCCGTTGATCACTATAAGTCGTCGCCCTGGGCAATTCTTGTATCATGTCAGCATGCAACCAGAACTCTTCACTGTGATGATAACCTCCGTCCCCCCGTGTGGAATCTCTTGCTGCCAATCCCACAAACTCTCAGCTCCGAAATCCACTCAATGAAGCTTGACCCTGAGAAGGGACGTGCTTTGTGGGTTTGCAGGTTTGACTTCCGGTCATGTAAAGGCCTTAATAATTAGAATAGGGTTCTGGGGCCCATTATGGTCGACTTACAAGTACAATAACAAGAAACCCCCAAAACAGTAGAGGTAATTGCTAAGGCCCCTATGGTATATAGTCTCTTTTGGGCACAGTAGTCGAAGGAGTCCTCGGGGTCGGCGCTGCGCGCTGCCCAGTATTGCTCCCATTCGTCCTGAAAGCAAGATCCCTAAACCCTTAACCCTAAACTCTAAACCCTTAAACCTAAACCCTAAACTCTAACCGATGTTAAGCTTCTGTCATGCGATCCGAGCTCCGCAGAGCCAGAAGCTTAACATAGGAGCCTTGATGACTGGAATACGGTTTTGAGGTACATGTTAGCTATACTAAAACTGGAACACGGAGCCCCCTAAGAAATAGTATTCCTAATTACCCAGGCATCTTTATGAAAGCAAGATCAACATTCAAGGCTTGACAAGCTTCGAGGCTTGGGATTTAGTTTAGGCTTCAGAGTGCCAGAGAGGCCAGTACCCCCTACTTAAGGAAGGCAGCTCAAATTATACTCTCACGACCCCGCGACTTTGAAGCATCTTCCATACTTAAGGACCGCATTTTCTCTAGATAAGGCCGTATATTTGTTGAGGTATATTCCTGAAATAAGGGGTTTTGAGCTGTCTGGGTGTTGGGTTTGGGAACTCAGTGACGGCGTTGATGCAGAGCCTCGACTAGAGGAGGCCCTTCAAAGCGCTCCCTTTGGGTGCTTCGGGCGGTCACGGTTTCGGCTTTGGGTTTGGGGATTGGGGTTATAGGGGTGGAACATTCAAAGTTTAGAGTTTAGGAGTTAGGACGTTCCCAGAAAACCCTAGACCCTAAACGCTAGGTGCAGGCTTGTGGGCCGGCATGCCGGATCCTAGTTCCAAAACACTAAAGCCCCAAAACCCCTTAAGCCCTGAAGAACTGAGCTCCTATTACTGTCAGCCCCAAACCATGAACCTCAAACCTGAACCCCTAAACTCCCACTCTTCAACCCTCAAACTTTAGCTTCAAACCGATAATCAGCGCTAAACCCTAAACCTTGCAACCCTTGACCTGCAGCCCTGGACCGTTAACCCTTCAGAGTGAGTGACAACACCACAGCAGGTGCTGCCCAAGCTGCCCACTGCCGGCACGCATCAGTCCCGAAACTTTGGAGAAAGTGGGCCACGTGGTCCTGGAAGCTTTTGGTTCCCTAAGCCCCACCTTAACCTACCAAAACCGACTTGTTTTGTACGGCCCCTACAAATTCGATATGACCCTAACCGTCCAACCCGAACCCCCAACCCCTAACCCCTGTGATCATGTCCTTTTTCGCAAGTCCCTAAACACCCAAACACCGCCAACCCAAACATCGTAAACCACAACACCCTCAAGCACAGATGCTAAAGCCGTCAGACTGCGTACCCGAGAAGCTGCGAAGTCCCGACCAATGCCCGACCATCATCTGCCACTGCTGTTCGACCCAATCACTGGTAATATAGGGGCCTTAATAATTAGAATAGGGTTTCGGGGCCCATTATGCTATAACTATCACACATACTATAGCTATCATAAGGAACCCCCCCCAAAATAGTCTTGGTAAGTATTTAGGCACCTAAAGTAGGGGTCTGCTACGATCTACGCCAAGGCCAGGGGATGGATCAGGGCTAGGAGCCCAATGTTCTATGGATAATCGAGATTCTGGGACATGCGGGTTTCCGAAATTTGGGGGTACCTTATTTGGGGGATCCTTTTACTAAGGATCCTACTATTTAGGGTACTGGATTAGGGCGATTAGGGTCCCCTTTTTTCGGAAACTCTCACATGTTCTTTCTTCTTCTTCTTCTTCGACCTTGTGCTTCCCTGTACCACCGAAATCGGATGAAGCCTTACACCATAAGGGTCGGACTATGAACCTTAAAAGCTATATTATGGCATAGGGGCACAGCAAGAAACCTCTAAACACTTACCACGAATAGCCTGTAAACTGAAACCCGGAACCCTAAACCCACAAATCTAAAGCCCAAATCCTAAATCTTAATATGCCCTTCTTCCCCCAAACCCTCAAACCCCTGAACCCTTAAAGCCTAAACCCCCAACCCTAAACCACTAAACCCCTAAACCCCGAAACCCCTAAACGCTAAACCCTAAACCCCTAAACGCTAAACAGCCCCCAACCCCCCCCCCCCCCCCCGCAACCCTTCATCCCTGAGCGCCTGGAGAGGTGGAAAAAGGTTGCCAGGCAAACTTTGGCCTGCGCTCCGGGCCAGCGGAAAGTGGAGCTCCGTGAAGGTTTCTAGGTCATGGTTGGGGTCGTATTAAACATCTCCTTATTGGGTTTAAGTATCCATAGAAATGTAAAATGCTACCCAAATATGACAAAGATTTCTACCTAAACCTACCAGAACTTACTTTTTTGTAGGGTCCCTAGAAATCCGACATTAGGGCTTATGTTAAGAACCTACAAAAAAGGTAGGGCTTGGTAGGTCAAGGTCATTCATGGTTGGGACAGTAGTAAGAATCTATTGTCCTTATTGGGTTTAAGTATCCATAGAAATGTAAAATGCTACCCAAATATGACAAAGATTTCTACCTAAACCTACCAGAACTTACTTTTTTGTAGGGTCCCTAGAAATCCGACATTAGGGCTTATGTTAAGAACCTACAAAAAAGGTAGGGCTTGGTAGGTCAAGGTCATTCATGGTTGGGACAGTAGTAAGAATCTATTGTCCTTATTGGGTTTAAGTATCCATAGAAATGTAAAATGCTACCCAAATATGACAAAGATTTCTACCTAAACCTACCAGAACTTACTTTTTTGTAGGGTCCCTAGAAATCCGACATTAGGGCTTATGTTAAGAACCTACAAAAAAGGTAGGGCTTGGTAGGTCAAGGTCATTCATGGTTGGAACAGTAGTAAGAATCTATTGTCCTTATTGGGTTTAAGTATCCACAGAAATGTAAAATGCTACCCAAATATGACAAAGATTTTCGTCAGTTTTAGGAGGTTAAGGGTTTAGGGCTCTCCAAAAAGTTGAGGCTTAATTTAGGATCTGGCCGAACGGCTCCAAATCTACGAACCCTCCAACAGCAGCAGAATCCAATATCTCGAATTCCAAACCTGAACCCTCTCAAATGCTGCGCCAAAATAGCCGAATGAGAATTGAGGATGGATGCATGTTGACTCAAAGCTCACTGAAACCAGGCTCATGCTGGAACGGCTGGAACCCAGTTAACAAAGCCTTTGTTCGTGTACGAGTTCTTAGTTCGTCTCCAGTTACATTAATCAACCAGGGTTTCAAAACTTCAACCTGAGCCCGAAAAAGTTGATAGACACCGCTACAACCTAAACCTTAGCCGCCTAAGCTATAGGCCCTTCAGGAAGTGGGCACTTCTTCAAGCAATCGGTGCAGAAACCATGCAAACTAGAGCAGGGCGATTTGTGATACATAGAGGTTCCTTTCGCTGAGGCTTTAGATCTTCAGGGTTTGGGTTCTAGAGGGCTTAGGTTTAGTTCACGTTTGCGGGTCTCGGGCTTTGGGGTAAAAAAGCTGTAGTGTAAGGGCCTTTGCGGAGTAAACTATACCATAATCATGTTAGTGACTATGAGGGGTGGAGTAGTAGTTGCTGTTTGAACCCCTCATATTATTGTTTTGTTCCGCGGGTTGAGCTTGTGGGTCAACAGAATCCAGCCCTATCTAGTGGATTCACACATGCAGCTACTGAAGGGTACAATAGCGGCCTAAATAAATGAATGGGGCGTGGGGCAAGGTATACTAAGGCTAGTTTGAGTTTAGGCGCTTCAGGGTTTTGGGGTTGTTGATGCGGCTTTCGAAGTTTCGGCTCAACTGAGAAACACAAACTCTTGACTTGCGTAGATGTTGTTGTTTCAAACGCTACACCCTAGAACCTAAACCCTAAACCTTGCACTCACTTGCGCCGCCTGACTTTTCAATCGATCGTCCATCCTCGGGCCGCAGAGGTCTGCCCTGAAGCCTTACTGCTAAACCCTCCCTACGGTTGTAAAGCTTCGTAGAAGTAGGGGCCATTTTTGCGGAATTTAGGAATACAGTAACAATAATCCTACATAAACTCTTTAAGGTCTATATACGGCCTGGGGGCTTAGGGTTTGGCGCTTAGAGAGTCCTGCTTTTGCTTCAGGGTTTAGGGTTTAATTTTGGCTGGAACCACCTTCAAAGGTACTGCGCAGCATTGGCTGTTGTGGCATTGCAGGTCTGGGCACCAACAGCTACAAGCAGTCCCCTACTGCTAAATGTGCCGGGCACAGGAAACCCACAGTTCTGGTTGGTGCACACGGTACCAGTAGTAGAAACTGTAGTGGCTACGAAAAAGAATGACAAGACAGAAAGGCGTGATGACATCCGTTGCGCCGAATGTAACTAGCTGATACTGAGAACACTAGGTTACACAGAGGCCCCAAAGCAGTTCCTTTTTGGGGGTCATATATAGAATCCTATAAGGTAATCCCAAAAAGGAACTACTTTGAGGCCTCTGGGTACTGAGCTGACCGAGCGGCCCATGGCAAAACCTCTTCACATGTCGACCAGCCAACCTCAGTTGAGCAGAGTGTCTGCGTGCCCAGGACCCTGCCTCAAGGGCTACGGAGAAGTTGCTTGGGAGGTTTAGCTTCAACCGTATATAGGGAACTGAATATCTAAATCATGTAAACCGAAGCCTCTAAGTTGCAAAACCCTCCACCACATGAAGCGGGACCAGGCTTATTGCATGTACCACGCCCGAACTCTCCACACGAAGCACCTAAACCTGAACTCTAACGTACCTTCTCCAAGTCGCCAAATCATAAAGCATATAGGACCCCTTTAGACCTTTCATGGGACCTTTGCAGGACCTAGGGACTTCTGGCTGTTGAACCCCTGCAACACCGTAGCAGGACCTATGAACGCGAACTTGGCCCAGGCACTGCATTGGCTGCCTCCACACGGAAGCCGTTTGCCAAGGGATCGACGTCAAGGCCTCCGGAGTTTCATGGCTTGCAATGTTTAGGGTTTAGGGTTTAGGGTTTAGTGTCCGATGAGGGTCCTGCTAAGGATCCGAGACAGATTTCTCTCGGGGATGTAATGGGGATTTGGGGCCGAGGGCTTGCAGTTTACAGGGTTTGGGCTTTAGGGATTTGGGTTTCCGGCCCCTGGGCTTGACAATTTGGATTAGGATTTCGGGCGTGGGCTTTTTGGTTGCATGTCGGGTGTCGGGAAGTGGGGCCAAGGTCCAGGGTTCGGGGTTTTAGTGCTCAGGCATAGTAACGCTGCAATCAAGTTAAGGTGTCTGCAAATGCTATTTAAAGCCACATTAGGCGAAAACTTGAAGACTCCATATCACCAGCATGACCACCATCATCACCATCGGGATCATCACCGGTGACATCTATCCAAGATCATGTCCAAGATCAAATCAAAGACTGACGACCAGCTGATAATCTCCACTTCAGCTTTGCAGAAATTACGACGGGAGCTGGTCAAAAGGAGGTCCAGGTAAACTCTTATTTAAGCAATGGTGTTTTAATAACTAGCAAGGCAATTACACTCGAGACTTCGAATCTTGCATGATAGGGGAGGAGGGCATGGACAGAAGCAACCCCGGGGATCAGAATGGGGCCGTTATTGTTTCGATTGCCTGGGTGCAAGGCCTTTGGCTGCCGGGAGAGGGCAGAATCCTGTAACACCGATCAAATCCTATGTAACACTGAAAAAAAACGCGAGCCCGAAAGCCCTGAAGCCTCACGACTTGGTGCAAGGTAATGTACGAACCTGATTAAGAAACCTTGGGCCTTTACTAGGGTTCCTAATATGAATCCTAATAATGTGGGGTTGTGGGCCCAGGGTTTCGAAAGTCCTACATTACCTTGAGCTTTGCTTGTGGTTGCAACTTTGGCAACGGGCCCACCTGGGAAGAAGGCCACCCATTTGCCTCGCAGTGTCTGAAGTCGATGTCGGGGGCTGAAGGCAGCAACTGCTCAAGGTGATACACCCACTATTCTAATGAATTACGACCGTGATGCTAATGATAATGAACATGATGATACTGTTGATGGTGCTTGGTGGTGATGGTCTGATGGCTTGCTGCTGATAAAGTCGGACACATGACAGCTGAAAGCCGGCACCCAGAGCAGCACAAAAGCTATTCGGGCAGGTGTGAGGTTTTCACAAACATGTTGGTCACCCAAATCCTGACAGAATACAGTCATATTGGTCATAATATCCCCTTATGACCCCTGTAAAACCATAAAAACACAGTCCTCCCCAACACCAAGATACAGTCATTTACGTCTAGTAAAGGGAGCTTAATAATTAGACTAGGCTTTTGGGACGCATTATGCTATAACGATAATAAGGCGCCTGCAAAATAGTATAGGTAATTATTAAGGCCCCTATACTATACTTCAAGGCCAGAAGCTCCCGCCTTCGCTTCGCTTTGCTAGGACCTTTCGGCCGGCGCTGTGGCAAAGGGCGGAGCACAGCGCCACAGGGGCGGCCGTGGGTGCAGTAACCTGTCTTGGGAGATCGGGTTTAGGGGTCAGGGTCTAGATGTTTAGGGTTTAGGGTTTGTCAATAGAAAAGTGACGAAAATCCTCAAGGGGTCTGCAGGGTTCAAAAAGCATGCTGCAGGGATTACAGGCACACTACCCGTTTGTTTGCTTAGGTGTTCGGGCCTTCGGCAGTCTAGGGTGGCAGGGTGTTTAGGGGTTTGGGGATCAGGGATGTGTTTTCGAGCTTGAAATCCTTAGCAGTTCGCCATGTCCGCGTGGAAACATAGGATAGTGACCCAGTAGAGAAGCAACAGGGCTGCTAGAATGTAGAATGTTTCTCAGACAGGAGCGGCAAGGTCCCCAACTTGCACGCAACCGCGAAGTAGCCACTCACTGTGCCAGAAAGCTCGAGGAAACTTAAGGCCTTCGCTTCTTCACCCTGTAAACTCCACGCGCAGCAACAGCTAGAGGTTTCTCCATCAAGGAGCATGGAAAGTGAGCATTAACGCGGCAGTGCTCTTCTTCGCAGTCCCCGTCGACGGCGCGTCGACTAGTCGTTGCAGCTCAAGCCTGGTGCAAAGGTACAGAATTATGTGTATGTGTATGTCTATATATATATATATATGCAGATGTATATGCGTCTTTGTATGCGTGGGGGATTGATCTCGACTTGGTTGCTGCTCTCCCCACCAGAGCTGTAATGAATGTAGGTGTGGCTGGCTAGCACTCTCCACAGACTGGACCCTGTCTCTCCCTCTTACTTCCACACGTGCAATCCTATGCAGGCAGAACCGGCGGCCGTTCCTTTTGCACTCACTGCCGGCGGCGGTTCGTCTGTGCAACGGGATAGCTCTGATTGCTCAGGATAGAAGACACATATAGCACTTAGCTATGGGCATTGACTTGAGCCAAACGTTGCGTTGGCGGTCACATAGAAAGGTAAAGATGAGGGATGCGTAGCATGCCCCCTAGAGTCGAGGGACGCGTAGCGTGCCCCCTTCTCTTGCACTTTACACGGTCTTGCTCACAGCTCTTATAGTGACACCTTAGAACTTGACAAGGCATCGCAGTCCGTTCGCACCCCCCATGAGTTGCGTCTCCGACGCTGCTCACCCGGAAGATGGCACGATAGGACAACAGAAAATGTTCCGCCGCAACGTTGACATTGAAAATCAGAGCTTTGCATCCCAATTAGAAACGTTGTGACACTCATCTACGTCAGTAACGATCCCCTGAAATGGCAAACGAATCAGGCGTCACCGAAGAAAGAAGCATTCGCGATGGCATTCCATGGGCGAAGCTCAGAGGTCACGAACTGATAGGCGAGGAAGATCAGGCGTTGTCTCGCCACCATCTTCGCGTTGACGTAGGATCGCGTTCCCAGGGCCGGAGGTTCTCCTCTGGATACTGGTTCCTCTGCTTTCCTTTGTCCTTGCCTTTGTTTCGGCCTTTGGCGGCGATGTAGTCGTGGTAGGAATTGGTGTTCCAGCCACCATGTTGCTCGCCTCCGGTTCTTCCACGCCCTTTTGAAGGTCCCTTGGATGAAGAAGCGCTTTCACGTTCCTCCGTAGTGACAGGCGTGTCCAGGATGGATGTACCACCTGGAGGAAGATAGTCAGCGGCCGAAATGTGGTGTAGGGCTTCCGTACGCTTGGTCGTCGGGTTTTGCTGTCTCTCAGCCTTGGATCTGTTCAATCTGTCCATGAAATGCGCAGGCATTTGCACACTGTGGTCCACCAGCAAGCCGATGGTCTGGACTGACTGATCAGAATGAGTCAGCAGAATACCGACGGGGTCGATGTACAAGAAGTCCACTGGTCCAGTTGGCGTTGGTCGTAGCACTGAGAATTGTTGGTGTCCCGTCACCATTGGAATCACCTCGCACAGGACGTTCAGGCAACAAAAGTGCATAGCCTTCACATCTTCATCCCTTTCGCTCTTCAAGTAAGTAGTAGGGTTGAAGTTGTCCCTGCCAATTCCCATCATGTTGGCTCCCCGTGTAAGTAAAGAAAGCATCTGGTTCGTCCGGAAGCGCTTCAAGGTGTAAGTCCCGTTGGGATCATACTGTTTGAGGTTCTCAGGTTCCTTGGCAAAGCGAATGATCTCCTCATCAGTCACATCCTTGCTCACACCCGTTTCCCTATCCACTGCCGCCAAAGATCCCCACTTTCCAAGCACATCATAGCGTTGGCCAAGTGCGAAACTTTCCCTCATCTGAAACAACGGCATAGTCGCCCACTTTGCGAATCCTGACCAAGCCTTGTAGATGGATCTGCATACCACGTATGCCATGTACGAAAGAGCGGTCATGTTCGCGTCAATGCAATGGGCATTTCGCTTTCCAGAATAGTAAGATGGCTGCATGGCGGTACGTGCAAGTTGTAGCTCAGGATCGATGTTCAAAGACTGGCCGGTAACGAAGACGGGACGACGTTCCTGTGCGATTGCTTCTGGAACTGCGTCATCAAAGTCCTCTCCAGGCTCTATGTCCATTTCTTCATCAGGTTCCTGTTCTGGATCGTCTTCCGCGATGACAGATGGTTCTGGGATTTCTTCAGGTTCCGCAACGGTTTCTACCTCCATGGCTTCCTGCTCCTCTTCGGGCGCCTCAGGCACTGCGGCTGCTGCGGCTTCCATTGTCTGAGCAATGAAGTCACTGGGGATCTCCGTAGGAGTCTCCCGTTGTGGAGAACCTTGGTAATATCCGCTCGAAATGAACTGTGACCAGCAAGACGTGCATCGGGAGAAACATGCTGGAACGATGTTGTAGCATGCCGGGCATACCCTCATTCTCCGTCCATCCTCGTCTCTGCGTAGGTCTTCGGGTCGCCAATTCTTGATGACAAACTTGATTCCTTTGTCCATGTAGTGATGCCGAACCGTGTTCTCCCTGTGGGACTCCAGGACAGTCGTGAGGTCTCGAATGATCTGCTCCTTGCTTGTGTCGTGGGGTCCAGGAGGCATCTCGCAAAGCAATTCCATGATCTTGCTTGGCGTTCGGTATCTCTCGAACTCAGGAAGCAACGGTGATGCATTGTAGTCCAACACCAGCTCTTTCTCCAACCTTTCATCGTAGATCTTTTCCACCAGAGCGAAAGAGTGTGTATCTCGAGGATCAGGGACGCAAAACCATACCTCCTTGACGAAATGGAAAGGTATCGTTCGGCCAACGATCATGATGCCGCTGTCTGTGATACGTCCATCCTCTCGTGCAAGATCTTGCGATGGGACATGAAGGACCGCCAATGGCATGTGCTTGGCGTCTCGTCCATGTACTCGCATCTTGGTCGTTGCGTTCCGGTGATCGAACGGCGCAAACACCCCCCAATAGCTGTGGAGTCTGCCACCTTGGTTGCCTCGGAATTGGCGCCTATGGTCGAAGTCCCCGTCGGGGTCCTCCGAACCAGGCATGATGCCTTGCGTGACAATGGAATCCAAGTTGCGGCATGCCGTAGCGTGGAACGCACCTCCAAGACGTTGCAAGAGGGTCATAGATGGAGATATTGCGAACCTGTTCTTGTCCAACTGAAGCAAATTGTTCTGGGGATCTGAGTGCGCAGAGTGACCACTCGTAGCCCGAACTGCCCATGGCTTCACCCAGCCGTTGCATATGTTCAGGTACCTCTGGCCATGCCGGCAATGATCGTTGTTCTGGATCTCCGTGATCTGGTCCTGAACCGATACCAACCTGTTCGAACCTGCTGATCCAAGAACTTCCGTGCCGGGGTCCTTCACTCTCACACCCAGGAACTGCAACCGAATCTTGGCCTTGTTGCGTTTCGTGGCTGCAATCATGTTCCCTTGGAACAATAGCTGAAGTCTTTCATTGTACACTCTCTTCTTCTGTTGATCATCGGTCCTTGAGACCCCTTCGGTGATGCGTCTGCTTTCATGGGTCCATAGTGGCTCATGCCTCACCAAGTCTTCGATCATCACCCATCCTCCTTCATCACATTTGATGACACTGTTGAATGCCACCTGGCACCTGTTGTCAAGCCATTCCGAGCCTGGGCGCCTGGCGATTCTGTGGCGCAAGTCAGACTGGATGCATGATAGCGCCCAATCCGCGTTCAACCTGCGCTGACGGGTGATGTTGCGAAGGACAACTTCGTTCACGATGTCCCACCGATTGTTGATGAAGCTTGCACCCTTGGTTGGGATCAGGTCGAGAATCCCGCACCGGATTGGCCTTCCGCCGCCGATGGATTCATAGCCTGCATTGGTGTAGCTATGAGTGTTTTCATCGTAAGCAAAGCTAGGACGGTCTCCTCGTTGAGGTAGGCGTCGGTCGCGATGGTCCGAAAGCTGCTCAATGATGTCCACCACTCGCTGGCTATTCTCTGGTCCCGATTCCTGCAGTGGTACGCCACAAGCATCATTTAGGCCCCGACGGTTCTCCACATCCGTGCAGAGATTGTGTTTGTTCTCATAACGGATCAAGACCACATCACCCCGTACGGCTTCGCCTCCGCGTCGCGGTCGGGCTTTGGCCTTGGGTCGTCGGTCCGAGGATGCAACACTCACATGATCTGTGGTGTCAACGTCCATTGGCTCAGCCTCTTGTGTAGGTACTCGACGTGGATATCGAAGAAGACTTTCCTTGATAATCTGGACGCCTCGAAGTACCAGATCCCGGGTTGCAGCATTTTCTGTGCAATTGGACAGAGTGTGTAGATCACTGCCACAAGCGACACAGAACGTGATGCGGTCGCTTCCGACTGACATTTCGCCCTGAGCGAGTACGCCAACATAGTCCTGAAGCTGCGTGACAAATCCTTCACGAATTGCATGCCTGGGATCAGGGCCTTCTGCACCTTGCTCTTCTTCGGGTTGCGCATCCACATCCACATCCTGTGCAGGTATTGGTGGAGCAACTGAGAACCCTGGATCGTCCGTGACGTTGTCAGCGGCCTGTGTCTCGTCGGTTCTCGCAATCTCTACAGGGTAGATATCACCATCGACGATCACTGTGAAATCAATCACGAGGTCAGCGGACATGTTGTTGACGATCTCAGCGACTGCTTCATTCTTCTTGGGCGGTGTCCTTTTGCGCGGGGAGTCAACCGTGATCAGCTCGATGGCTTCGGCCGACGCGTAGCGGAAGAATGACCTTTCGATTCCTCTCGCGCACGCATTTGCTCCCTCAAGGCCACCCCAATTCATAAAATGACTTGGGTGTCTCATTGCAATTGTAAGAAGCCCGAGCGCCAGCTCCACTGTGTCACCCAGGAGCTCTTCCTTGGGCAAGACTGACCCTCTGTAGCATTCTTGGCGCTCTTCCGGAGTCAAAAGCATCCTCATGAAACCAGCATAAGCGCAGTTCCCGGCATCGTAGTAGCAGATGTAGCATGTCTTGCCTTCGGAGTCGTACCCTCTGTCCCACGCCAACTGTTTGGCCTTTCCCCATGCCGCGTACTCGATGGCCTGACTGGCTGTGATTCGGAGACCACCGTAGTGAGAAACCGTCTTGCCGATGTCTTCATAGACCATCTCTGCACAAACTTTGAGGAACTCCTTGATGTCCACGCGAGGATCCACGAATTGAAGCCTCAGGTCATAAAGGTGCTTTG